TCTAACTTTGAACCCCACTATCCCTCTATTTATTGGGTACTTGTAAGTTTCTAAGGAGCCCAGATGGGATAGGATAAGCACTGGACTGCTAAACACAAGCTCAGCAATTCAAACTCACCAGCTGCTACATGGGGGAACGATGAGACTGTTTGCTTCCATAACAACTGACATGTCCAGAAATCCTATATATATAGAGAGAGATTCCCTGTGAGGAGCAAAAGACTTCATGGCACTATTGTCTGTTTGTTTCTTTGAATTTCTGTTGCTACTCCTCATGAGGGAACTCCTGTTTATGACAACCTCTTACGTTGCATAGTAGAGTGGTGCTTCAAAGAGTTTTGAATAGCTGAGTTTTTTAAAGCAGATCCCACTGCCTTTCTGCTGAGCTGTCTTTTTCTGAATGGATTCAGCCCTCGCACCTCTCGGTTAGTGGCTGGGTGCAAACCCATGTCCTCACCAAGGGAATGTTAAGTTTCTACTCTACTTGTCAGTATGTGTATTAACCCAAGAAATCAATGTGATTTATCCAGAGTATTTGATTTATTTAATGTGATGTATCCAGGGTGTGTGATAATAGAACATAAACTATGACAGGAAGTTCTTAATTTAAATTCTTCAGGTTAATATTGTTTGTTCTGCTTTGTTTATCATATTTTATAAATCTTGCTTTGCTCAATAAATTTAGATATACTTGGACAGATGAAACGCTTAGAACTGACAAGTTTATATAGGAAAGAAAAAAGAAGAGAGTTTCTGCCATTTCTTACAGGAATTCTGCATTTAGCTTACAGGAAATTGGAAACTTCTTTATCTGGCCACCAATAACACAGGCATGATACTGGAAGAAAGCAAATTCATTGTCTACATGCGTAAGATGCAATATACGTCGTACAATGGTCTTATAAGCTTCAATTATTATTTCAAGTAAGTTTAAAACAAAAACAAACAATAATTTGACTTTCCAAGAGGAAAGATTTGAATTTTGTGTTTTCAGGGAGAACAGTGGGCTCTGAGCTGTGGGTCTTGGTGGGTGTATGGAGTTAAAGATTCAGTGTTCAGAGAATGCCAGGGACCAAAACCTTAGAGGAAAGACAGTAGAAGTGTTCCACTGGAGCCATCGCATAGAATATTAGAGGGACTAAGACAAGGAAGGAATGCTGATGTTGTTGTGAGCCTTTGAGGTGTTTCGGACTCATTGTCATGCCTCTGTATTGGGTTTACAAGAAAGACTGTTGGGTTTGAACTGTTGATCTTATGGTTTGGAATCCTACAGTGCCATACCATAGCTCTGAGGAGGGAACAGTCTCCTCAAATCCATGGATTCCTCATGGAAACCTTCATGAGTCATTTTCAAAAGTCATGTCACACTTTGGAGAGTCATGCTCTGAAAAACTGTGAGCAGAACATGACATGATCTACAACCTGAGTAGGTTAGCCATGGCAACTTTGAATCCACTGCCCAAGAGACGAAGGCTTTCATTTCATCAAAGCTGATGGATAAGATGACCAGTACGTTGCAGAGGTTTTGTTAATAACTCAAATGAATATAAGATGGAGGAACGTTTTTGCTTTCTTTTGAAATCTAGTCAGGGTACAGACCTCTAAACACTACCTATCTGAAGTTCCACAGGAAAGGTAAGATGAGGTGGAACAGCAGGCACTAATATTGCTGTCGCATAATTTGTTGGACTGCAAGGTCGATGGTTCAATTCCACCAGCTCCTCCTCGGAAACCCTTTACAGAGTCACTATGAGTCAGAACAGACTTGAAGGCACTTAACAACAACATCAATATCAATAACAACAGTAAGAGTCCTGAAGCAGTACTGTAGGATAAGCATTGAACTTCTAAACACAAGTGTGGCTGTTCAAACCCAGCAGCTACTACTTAGAAACTCTATACAGGGTTGCTGTGAGTTAGAACCGGCTCAACTGCAGTTAACAACATCAACTCAACAGGTTTGGAGGACAGAGAGAATGTGCTTTTGAAGCAGAGACTGAAGTTTAGAGCAAAGAAGCGGGAAGAGGGACGCAAATGTATCTGTTCATTCAGTTATGAACCATAAATTAAAATAAATAAACATGTATAATAGTTTCAGGTAGCTGCACACAGGAGGTCGTAAGGAAATTCCACAAGGTGAAAATTTGCAGAAAACCTTTTTTTTTTTTTTTTTTCTAAAAAAGAAGTTTTTTTCTGAAGAATCCAATGTGTCAGTGTCTTAATTCTGAGCCAACCTCTTTCAACTCTCATAAAAAGAATGTCCACTAGAGGCCCGAGAACACATTTTCTGCTTCTTACTTCCTCCCTGAGTGTGTATTCAAACACTGAATGTATTTGGGGATGCAGTTTGGTATAGTTTAAAACAACAACAACAAAAGCAGGTATTTGGACGTGTACTGGTGTGTATTCTACATGGTCTTGACTGAAATTTACTCCTAAAGTTTCGCGTTGAGTGTTGACAACAATGGAACTGCACTTCAATCAAACGAAGTCATTTCAGGAATTGCAGACATTTCTTTACCTCTGTCTCACACACAAAGATATTTAAACACCGACAGATGGTTTGAAGGTTAAAAGCAAAATCAACATTGGAAACACTAGGAAGGAAGATTCTATGAAAGCTAATGAAAGTGGCCGTGCTGTGGTTGGGTTGGTGACTTTCATTGGGACCACCCTAAACAAGCAACT